AAAGGCTCCTTAGACCCAGTCCTCTGAAAGGCTCTTTAGACCCAGCCCTTTGAAAGGCTCCTTAGACCCAGTCCTCTGAAAGGCTTTTTAGACCCAGTCCTCTGAAATGCTCTTTAGACCCAGTCCTCTGACTGACCTGTTGCAACACCAGTTCCAACACAGGACCATGGAGTCAACCAGCTCAGGTGCTCAAAATGTAACACAAATGTCTTCAGTGGACCCAGAACTGTCTCTGATACAACTCAACACTCAGAGCTCCTTTGTTTTAAAATGAAATGTTCTGGTGTCAGTCCAGATGCATTCAGGATGTTCTGTTAAAATTTAGAGTGGTTTGTCATTTTAATGTTCAGACTTCAGTAAAATTTTCTCTAAATATCTTTTGTTTTTTACCTGAAAAGTTTTGAACATAACAGCCTGGTCAGGAAGTTTGTAGTAAACTCTACAGGATATCCATTGTTCTAACATCTGATGTGTCAGGTTTTATTTTATCTGTTTCTAGTTCTACTGAAACATTTTTAATGTGTTCCACTCTGAGTATAAAATGGGTTTATGGAATTTAAATCTGAAAATGAAACTTTTTAAGACTTGGAGTTGTTTTTGTTAGTTCTGAATGAACTGGATCAGCAGCTTCAGATTCTGCTGACCACACCTTTAAACGTTTTGTGTTGGAAAATATTTTTGCTGATGTTTCAGTATTTTAGCTCATTCAGAGCTGACAGTTCTTTTAGCTCTTTTTGATTCACCAGGGTCATCAGATCTGTAGGGTCCACAGAGTCTGATTCTTCTGCACCCAAATGGTTCTGTAGAACTACAAAACTCCAGCTTCATGTTGCTGAAAACTAATTTCTCTAAATAAATCAGAAACTGAATGTTTTTTGTTGTCAGGAGCCTCTAAATGGATCACTGATCACAGGACCAGGATCAGGGACAACAGGTTTGTGAACCTGGACCAGTTCTTCCTCAATGATGTACAGAGAAGGTTCAGTTGGGTCCTGACCACTGTAGACTTACAGTTAGCCCACTGTGGGTCAGAACCACTGATACACTGATGTTAGTCTTGCTCTTCATTATGACAAGGTCAAGATCACAATGATAAAAACAGGTCTAACAGGTGCTACATGTCTTACATGTATGTAACGGTCTGATGAGTCTAACATGTCTTACAAGTTTTACAGTTCTGTTAGGTATCACAGGTCCAAGTCTGGTCAAGTTTTTCATGCCAGTCAGGTCTTACAGGACTAGAGGGAGAATATGTTTCTCTGTTTACAGTGGGGTGCAAGCGTTTGGGCAGCCTTGTTAATTTTCCTGATTTTCCTTTATAAACCATTGGTTGTTTGGATAAAAAAATCAGTTAAATATGTCATATAGGGGACAAACACGGTGATATTTGAGAAGTGAAATGAAGTTGATATGATTTACAGAAAGTGTGCAATAATTGTTTAAACAAAATTAGGCAGGTGCACAAATTTGGGCAACAAAAACAAAAACCTTTAACTCAATATTTAGTAGCTCCTCCTTTCACAGAAATAACAGCCTCTAAACACTTCCTACAGCTTCTAATGAGAGTCTGGGTTGTGTCTGAAGGTGTTTTAGACCATTCTTCTTTACAAAACATCTCCAGTTCATTCAGGTTTGATGGTTTCTGAGCATGGACAGCTCTCTTTAAGTGACACCACAGATTTTCAATAATATTCAGGTCTGGGGACTGAGATGACCATTCCAGAACGTTCTACTTGTTCCTCTGCATGAAGGCCTCAGTAGATTCTGAGCAGTGTTTAGGGTGGTTGTCTTGTTGGAAGATCCAGCCCCGGCTTCAGCAGCTTCAGCTTTGTCACTGATTCCTGGACATTGGTCTCCAGAATCTGCTGATACTGGTTGGAATCCATGCGTCCCTCAACTTTAACAAGATTCCCAGTCCCTGTACTGGTCCCACAGCCCCACATGTTACTATAGGTAGCAGGTGTTTTTCTTGGAGTGCTGTGTTCTTTTTCCTCCATGCATAATGACCCTTGTTCTGCCCAAATAACTCTATTTTAGTTTCATCAGTCCACAGCACCTTATTCCAAAATGAAGCTGGCTTGTCCAAATGTGCTTTAGCAAACCTCAAGCAGCTCTGTTTGTGATGTGGGAGGAGAAAAGGCTTCCTCTGCATCACTCTCCCATACAGCATCTCCTTGTGTAAAGTGTGCTGAATAGCTGAACGATGCACAGTGACTCCATCAGCAGCAAGATGATGTTGTAGGTCTTTGGTGCTGGTCTGTGGGTTGACTCTGACTCTTCTCAACATCCTTCACTTCTGTTTATTCCAGACTTTTCTTGGTCTGCCACTTCGATCCTTGACTTGAACTGTGCCTGTGGTCTTTCATTTTCTCACAATGTTTCTCACAGTGGAGACTGAAAGATGAAATCTCTCAGATAGCTTTCTGTATCCTTCCCCTAAACCATGATGATGAACAATCTTTGTTTGTGAGGATTTTATCAGAGCTACCAATCAGGAAGAAGATCCAGATAGAAGCTGTTTACAGCCTCAACCATCAGCGGCAGACATCAGTGTTTCCTGAAGGGGTTCAGGTGCTGATTAAAGAAGAAGATCCTGAAGAACAGAAGCCTGATGTGGACCAGCAGGACCAAGAACACCTCCACATTAAAGAGGAAGAGGAGGAACTGTGGAGCAGAGCAGAGCAGCTCAATTTGAAGGAGGAGACTGATGCCACCAGCTTTACGTTCACTGCGGTTCCTTTGAAGCATGAGGATGATGAAGATAAACCTCTGTCCTTACAGCTTCATCAACACCAAGCTGAAGTCAGAGATCTTCCAACCAGCAGCTCAGCTCAGGATTCTGACTCCTCAGAAACTGAAGTCAGTGAGGATGATGAAGAGGATTCTGACTCCTCAGAAACTGAAGTCAGTGAGGATGATGAAGAGGATGATGATGATGATGATGATGATGATGATGATGATGATGATGATGATGATGATGATGTAAACAATCCTGACTCTCAGCTTAAACCCTTTGCAGACTCTGGGTCAAAAACTGAAGACACTGATAAAGACTGTGTTCTTCCTGCAGGGTTCCTGAATCAGGTGTAAAAAACAACAAAAATGAACAGAAGCTGTTGTGCTGTGAGGTGTCTGGGAGAAGGTTTACCACAAAGAGCAATTTAAACACACATGAGAATCCACACAGGACAGAAGCCATTTTGTTGTGAGCTGTGTGTGCAAAGGTTTACTGAAAACGTTAGTTTAAACAAACCCATTTTTTGTCTTTTTGTTCCACTCTTGGGGGAGTAAGATGCTTTTTTCCTTCTCTCCTGCCATTCCTTATCTTCCCTGCCTTTCTGCTTGGAGCCTTCTCTACATTTTCATCCAAAATCAGAAATTATGGGTATTTTTATTTTTATTATTATTATTATTATTGGATTTGGTTAGGTGGTCTCTTAATAAATTTTGGAACAAAGTGTTTTTCTTCTTCCTTGGAAGGATATGTCAAAGGTGGGACCTATGTTCTGTTCTGTTCTGGATATATGTATATCTGGACTCCGATCACTGGATTCTACAGATTGGCTTGGTGGTCTCCAGGATTGTGCAGCTTTCACACTAAAAGTTGGCATATGGACAAATTTAGGAAACTGCGTCACACCAAAATATTCTGATGTATAAAATCATGCGCACGCATGTTCCTGCTCACCTTTCCTTTATACATCCCAATGAATGTGGAACTTAGCGCATGAGAGATATCTCCCCTGACACACCTCCATTTAATTATGTAAAATAGATGTAAATGTGTGTGAGATTCTCCTCAGATTGTCCTCTCTGTGGGATCAGAAATGATTTTTAGATGCAGGAAAATTATACATTAAATGGAGAATGAGTGAGAAAATTGTCTAAATATGTAGTGGAGTGTAAAAATGAGTTTGCCACTCGCAAAGGTGTGTGTGGGTGTTGGTGTGTATCCGTGTGTGCTGTTATTTTCAGCGACGCATAAGGCTGAGAGATATTTCCACCTTTACACGTCTTTAAGAAATGACTGTAAACACGAAGAAACTTATGACCTTTGTAGAACTTAGAAAAAAAATTTATTAAATAGTTGATGATGTTAAGAAACACGCATTTCCTACTCTTATAAAAAAAAATAGAACAAAGCGCCCGTCCTCCTCCACCTCATCTCATAAAAAACTGACGTGCGGGGGGTGCCCGGCGTGCCAAAACTGGACGCAAAAGGCTACAGCTGACATTGATCCATACGCACAACTTTACGCAGCAATAAATCTATTGTGTCTTGTGGAGCTGAGGAATCATCACAGCTGAGCTGTTCTGAATTAATCTGCTGAGTTGACGTTTATTTTCTCAGTGAAAATTAAAATGTTTCTTAGACAATTCACACATTTTATTCTCCTCAGCTGTCTGTGCGCTCCGCAGGCCATGCGCTCTGCGTGTGTTTCCAACTACATGACAACAATATAAAAACTTTACAGTTTACAGACTGGACTGAGGTTATTTTGATCATTTTTAGGCTGATCTATTTTTTTGTCTGAGGTTAAATGATTTCCAGACCCGAGGTTCAGTTCGTTTGAGTTTAAACAATAAAAACTCAAACTAAAATAAAAATCTTACACCGTGTTCAGATGCTCCTTACATCCAGAAAACACAAGAGTCATATTTCTGTGGATTCAGGTCAGATTCGTGACTTTGTGGGTTAAAACTGTCGACTGAAAAACTTTGCGTGGCTGCCGCACATTCTCACAGCAGATGAAAAGTATACGTAAATATACACACACCTTCACACAAAGTTGGTTTTAATACATCCCAACGTGGGCGTAGAACCTGGCGCACGCAACTTTTTTGTGAGTACGCACCGTTTATACATGAGGCCCCGGGTGTTCTACAAAACGTCAGTGGCTATTCATCTCCTGGCTGACTGACCAATTTGATGGGTGGCCGTACTATTACTTTTCAGCTCATTGGAAAGTTGTTTTCAGACTCCCATGCTGCCACTCTTCAGAGAAGATGCAAAGAGGAGAAAAACTTACTATTGCCCCCCTTAAATACCCTTTCTCATAACTGGAGTCACCTGTGTATGGAAGTTACGGGTCACTGAACTTAACAAATCAAATTTGAGTTCCAATAATTAGTCCTAAAGGTTTTGAAATAAATAAAATGACAACAGTGCCCAAATTTATGTACCTGCCTAATTGTGTTTAACCAATTATTGCACACTTTCTGTAAATCATATCAACTTCATTTCACTTCTCAAATATCACTGTGTTTGTCCCCTATATGATGTATTTTACTGATTTCTTTATCCAAACAATCAATGATTTATAAAGGTAAATCGGGAAAATTAACAAGGCTGCCCAAACTTCTGCACCCAACTGTACAATGATGCTATCAGACAATCCAACATGGGCTTTGCTGGGGACTCACCTGTCAGCTTCAGCTCTCTGTYTCAGTCACTGAAATGTTTTCACAGATAATAATCTCTTGACTATAAAACTTGTTTTCATGAATCTAATGTAAAAATCAATTTATATTTATTTATTCTGTCTGCTGGGTTGTGTGTTCTGGTCCCGACAGGTTCTGGGTCTCAGATCAGTACCATGTGGGACACCAGCTGTTTGTAGTTTGAGTTTTAGCTTGTTTGAATGTGAAATCACCACAAAGTGTCAGAGGAATTACATGTGTTTTCATTCCTCAGTTCTGTCTGAGTGCTGCTCTCCTGGTGAGAGAGGAAAGGAGAAGTTTTTTTCTCTTAAACATGGAAAAGCATCGAAGCTGAAGAATGTCAACAGCTGAAGCATGAAGCACACCTGTTCTCTATTCATCGACTTCATGACGCTGCTGTACTCTTCTTTTGTTCTGCTGAATGTTGAACCAATGTAACTGTTATCTTTGATTAACTCTCATTAAAGAGGTCTTTTATAAAGTCTGTCTTTACATTCTGACTGACATCTCTGTAGAAACATGAACCCATGTCAAAAAAAATTAAAAGAAGAGAAAATTAGAGGAACAAGAAGACAATGAGCTGATCTAAGCATCAACAGGCAGCTGTCCATCTTTAAACTCCTTGTGGTCTTCATAAACCACAGAAAAGTTAGCCGAGCAGAGCAAAACCAAATGAGACATAGACCAGAAGCCTGTCCCTCCTCTGGACGCATCCAAACTAGAGGTGTCCCGATACCGATACCAGTATCAGTATCGGATCCGATACCAGCATCAAGTACTCGTACTYGTAAAAGCCRGCCGATACTCTTAACCGATACCACTTTTGTCCCCTTTTTTGTTCCTCCTGTGCTGCAGCACAAAGGGTAAACAACAATCCATACCAGGCGGGGGCGCTAACGCACTGACAAGTTATTTCCGACCGCACCCCCGAATAACAGAAGAAGAACGATGCACAAATTTGATATTGGCCTGTAGTTATTTAAAACAGCTGGGTCACCTCCTTTTAATAAGGGAGTAACAAAAGCAGACTTCCAGACTAAAGGAACCTCTTTATTTTGGATCGAAAGATTAAAAAGAATTGTAAGAGGCTGTGCCACAAAATCAGCAGCCTTTTTTAAAAAGTAGGGCTCTATCATGTCTGGTCCAGGGGGCTTTCTATGATC